TAATCAGAATTAAAAACAATTATACACATTTTAATTTATACTGAAAAATAATTAGAAAATATACTGAGCTATAATTGTTATTTCAATCATACTACCTATAATAATAGAAAAATTCAAAGATGATTTTGTCGGAGAAAAAATATTAAAATATACAATGCTTAAATAAAGTTTCTTTTTTATTTACCGTAAGATATGAGTTTGTCTTGCCATTTCTGATTGCTGCATTTCTGGAGGTAGTATAATTTCTTTTGATCGTAGGTTGAGTAAAATTGTAATTCGTTCCATTCCTGTTTTCAGTGGCTTGTAACACATTTCGAATAATATTATTCCCAGACTGTAAATGTCGACTTTTTGATTGTAAATGGCTTTCACTGCTTTCGTCGTTAGTTCCGGCGCTACGTACAATGCTGTGCCCACTTGTCCTGTTAAAGAGCCTACGTCTTCTGTGCCAAAACTGAATCCTACAAAATCATACAGGAGAACACCATCTCTAAATTAGGAAAAAATAGAACAGTCTTTATCATGAATTCTTTGAACATTATTTTAAATAAAATTATTTTTCGTTTGCCAATATGTCATTTTTTAAAGTCTAAAAAAATAAAAATAACACTATCTAATATCAATTTTATGTTTCAATATAACAGATCAAGAAATGTTTTTGATGTTTTGTGTCACCTGACTGTAACTCTACTTCAAATGCAGTAGCTACTACCAACATAAATTTTTAGAAAATGATTATTAATGTCTCAAAAAAATGAGTATATTTTTCATATGTTAGTTAGGAATTATATAATTACTAAATTCTTTTCTTTCGAAAAATTGATAATCAAAGCGTCGAACGAGGAAGAACTACAAAATCAATTTCTTAAAAACCAAGGATAATGAAGAAAAACGACTTTCGGAACTATATTGAAATCTACAATATTGGAACCTCTATTCTTCATTGAAACATAAAAAAGAAATTAACATTCTTAGAGTAAGATTTTATATTCAGTTTCTTGATAATTTTGCATGAGTAATGGAAATTCAACGAATTTTTATTATTCATTTGATATTTACCTTTTTCCATAGTTTGTGATTCTTTATCTATCTCCATGGTCTGTACAAACGTTGAAAAAATATTTGTAGTAGCGAGACCGAAATCTCCGATTTTAACGTGGTCGTTGCTGTCCAAGAATATATTCACTGGTTTTAGATCCCTGTGTATCATGCCCTGTTGGTGAATGTGCGCTAAGCCCTCAACAATTTCTCGGAATAATCTCCATACTCTTTCTCGGTCCTCATAAAGACCTCCATCGATGGCCGTCCGAAGAGTGCTCTTTTCACAGAACTCCATTTGAATGTACATAAACTGTATTTCTCTTGTTGTTTCTTCTGATTTACTTGCATCTCCATTTTCATTCTCTTCTCTACTCGAAGCAGATTCTTGGAAATTTGAATCCCTTTCAAATTCTATACTGTCGGAAGAGTCTATTCTTAACAAATTCCGCATTCTGGAAAATAATTTATGATTACTGTTTACATATTAAACCTTGCCAAACCATTGTAGGTTATAACATATGAAATGTTCAATTCTTATTGTTAAGTAACTTCATACCTTCACAGAATTACTACATTTATAAAAGTTTTTATAAAATTCCATTTGAGTTATTGGACAAAATGGTTGAGAAATAACATATGAAAAAGAATTATATGATTTAATTTCTATAAAATATCCCATTTTTTTATTTACGTTGTAAAATAGTTTTTTTTTAAATTGCGAAATTAAAAATTACCACAATTCATAAGTGAATAAATATAGGAATTTTTTCTAATTTTATAGCAGTTTAATATTCTATGAAATGTTAGAAATGTTAATGAAGCACACCAAACATTCACCATCAAACCATCTCCAATCATTGGCCGCATGACATTTTACCTCATACTGTGTATTTTTTGTTACTTTTTACAGAATTTGTATTATTAGGCTTATTATTAATCATATCTATTTAAACTAACTAATTGAAAAAATTGTACAGATTATAATGCTGCTTATTTTGTTTACAATATTATTGCAAAAAATTGGACACTTCATATTCTACAGTCTAATACTTTGATTACTGCGTAAGTAATGATTTCAGTCATTTATAGATTTATGATACATTTTAATATCTTTTTTTAGATAGCAACATTTTAACAAAATTAAATTGATTTGTATTATACAAGGAGCCATAAAAATGTTATTCATAATTAATACAAGTACTTCAATTCGTTTATCAATCGTTTGAAAAGATTTATTTAAGATTAAAATTTGTTGGATGGGATAGTCTAGCCATACTCCATCTCAAATTACTAACGTATTTTTGGAAAAATTCTTTTTTTCGCAGAAAATATTTTCCGTTCGATACCTATTTTGAATTTCTCTACAATTTATCGCTTCAAAAATGATTGATTTCTTACAAAAACGCACAATCTTCATCACTGTCGCTATCACTAGATGCATCGCTGTTGTCTTCATCACTATCCGGCGGTAGTGTGGTGTTTGTACGAGATTTGTATGAAACATTCCATTCGACATCTTGCAACGGCGGTGCCAATTTTTCGATATCGTCTGTGCCCAAATGCTAAACAATTAATTTCAAGTTATAGTAGTATACTATATTAGTATTTTTTTCAAATCACTTTTCAATTTTACAAAGCAAATTAGGTTTCTTCAAATACTAGACATAAAAACATTGCGATACTTTTTACACAATAAAGTTACTCTAAACAACAGGTTGTTTCATAAATAATATAATTTTCCTTTCATATTATTAACCACAAGTGTTTAATTCATCTTTTTCCGTTTTATACATTCTATTCAATCTATATATTAATATATAATAATAAGAATATCAAATCTAGTAATGAGCATACTTACGTTGAGCAAGTCTTTGTTCTTCTTTCCTAATGGCGTTTCGTATACTTTCTCTGTTTCATCAGTTATAGTAGCACTCTCTATCCAAGAATTGTAATAGCGCACCACATTTTCATGATTCATGCGCGACAGTAATTTCACTTCCCTGGTTATCTTTCTGTTCAGCTGCTTGTTCTTGGGGTTAAGCTCGATTCTTTTGATAGCATAAATCCCACCATCCAATTTGTTTTTCACTTTAAGTACATCACCAAAGGCACCTTTACCAAGCCATTCGAGCCCCTCAAATTCATTTGTAATTCTTGAGTGACCACCCAAAGGTGGTACATACTGCCTAATGTCTGCATCAGTCTCATCAGGCTCTTGATTCTCCTGTTCCTCTCTGCGTGGTATCTTTGGTGGTGACAATGCTCGAGCTAGAGGAGCTTTTATGAACGTATGTTGCAGCAGTTGTTCAGCAGACCAACGCTTCCGCTCATCGTTGATGAGACACTTTTGTAAGAAATCTTGAAGATCAGGCTGCAAAAATTCAGATAATATCAATATACAAAATTACCAAAGGTTAAACAAAATGATAGAAACAGCTTGCGTAATAAAAATATGTTTTATTCGATATGTCTGCTAGTTAAGATCTTGTTAGTAAAAATATTGTAAATAATTCAATGACTCGGATTTTTTTAAAAGTTAATTATTACTTTTCTATTTCTATTATCATTTGCAGCTACTTTTACATCGAAAATATTTTTTTGATAATTTACAAATAATCTTCTGTCCAGTTTCTGTCGACTTTTTTCCATAAATCAAATCTTCCAATGGATGTTAATACGACCAGACCGAGCAATAACTATTTTTGTTAATCAAATTTAACGTCTATCATTATAATTATCTATCTTGTTTGTATTCAGGCGAAAACTATTTAGTTTTAAATATAATTATAATAGTTTTAAATATAAGTTTTATTTATCATTTTCTGTACGAATACATGATAAAACAGTAAATGTTATACAGTTTGATTGAAAACTATTAACGGTAAGAAGAAATTAAGAGTATGATATCACAATATTAAAGCAAAGTAAACATAATAAACAATACAAATGATGAATCTTTCAAAATTAGTATGGCAATACAAATTGTAATTATAGTAATTGTGTATATACCTGACTGATCATTGCTGGGTTAATTTTATCTCCAGAAACGATCATTCCGTTTAACAAAGAGAACATAAGTGCGCCGAAACGATAAATATCAGCTTTCTTTCCACCTCTTCCTTGGATACTGGGAAAATCTTGTTCAGGTTTGACAACTGCACATGTTTGATAAACATCAGACAAACGTTTGTTGAGCGAATAGTCCGATAGTTTAACTATTCCTGTACGATCAATGTAGATGCTTGTGTCACGTAAGTCTTTGTGGACAACATTATTGTCGTGAAGGTACTTCAAAGCAAATAAAATCCCAGAAGCCAGATAACGAAGAAGATCGATGTCCACAGGAATGTTCTCCAACAGGAAAAAAGAACAGCTGGTACCTATCTAATAATCAACTATTAACGTTCGAAATCCTTATTTGTACTTTTCGTGAAAAGATTTGTACAAATAGTGTAACAAAATCACACTTTCTCTTTGAATACTAAATATTAGAATGACTTTACAATCCTTATAATTGTATGCATCCATAATATAAATAAAATACTACGCTGCTTTTGTTATGATTCCTGCTACATTAATTGTCATACTTTACATAGGATAATTTAGTAAATTTTCTGTAATTAGTAATATACATATTTAATGACTATCTCAATAATTATTAATTCTTTTTTACACAGATTTCAAAATCTATTTCCAGAATTAAATTTGACCTATTACATTTTACCTAAAAAAAAAAAAACTGAAAAATGAGACTTTTATAAGGTTGATAAATAAGTAAAATAGCAAAAAATTTGTATGCAAAAAGTTGTATGTAGTGTGCACTCCTTGATAACGTACAACGGTTATTTTAACCAAATACTTTACAAGTAATTTAGGTGACCCATTTAATTGAATCATCCTGTATATTTATTGATCTAGTTTTTACTTTGTTACTAATGTTTATCTGTGAATAGTTTTTACTTATCTGTAAATTTTACTAGCTATACACTTACCACAAATTCTTGAAGAATGTAAACAACTGTTTCATCTCCATTTAGCAAGTACTTCATACTTATATAATGTACAAGATTCGGATGGTGCAATTTATTTAAGTGATTCATCTCTTGCTCGAGACTTCCTATTTGTTTAGTAATATGTTGTACATTATTTTCGTCAATATCGTGGTTCCCTTTAAATGTCCATTCGCTAATTGCGAACAGTTCACCGGTTGTCATATCCACACCAGCATAGACAACAGATCCTTTGGTACTGTGGCCCATGCATTTTCCTCTATATACATCCCGTTCATCTGTGAGGAGTACAATACTTTCTAAATGTCAGTTTAAGTTTACGTAATTATTTTGATGATAAAAGTTCTGTCAGCAATTTTATAACTATCAGATATACCTGTCATTTTTTTATACTTATACAAATCTTACTTTATTTAATATTTAGTACAGATTAATTTCACAATAGACACATTAAATGTCAATAAATTCAATTAAAAATTGAATTGTGCAATATTATATTACATCTACAAAGTTTATTTAATTTAAAAGATAATGGAATTACTTATGGATACTTCTAATAATTACAAACAAATATTATATAAACACATAGTCTAAAAATAATTTATCCGTTTACCGCTAAAATTTTCTGAAGCAATACCAAAAATCATTATCATTTGTAAAAACTCAATTATTCAAAACAGGAATGGCCTGTATTGCTTATGATAGATCGAATGTGTCATATGCGATATATCTTCTGTTCATTAGGCTGACTTTGTCAATCATACCACAAGGTTGAGTCAATAAGTAAATTATTCCTCCCCTCCCCAATCCACAAAATATAAACATGGTAAATAGTAAGAAATAATATAACGAATTACTGTTACACGAAGTGACAGAAAAGAGTCGATCTCCACATTTGAAAATCAGTGTAAATAAATAGTTTAGTTTTTGTTTTGTTAGAAAATAAAGAATTTATGGAATTTGTATCAGCAAAGACTTTATGATCGATTTCCTGTCAATACTTTCAAGTTGCTTTTTTTCACTTCATGACTCATTCTAAAATGATTACCAGCTAAATGACTGCCTTTCTTTTTCTCCTCTCTTTCATGATCCACAGCGCTACCAAAAATTCTTCACCAAGAATAATGCTTAATCCTCAAAAAATTGTAAAATAAAACAAATTTCGAATTTGAACATATTTCTTAAACAACGTCCCGTGTTTACAACACTGTAACATACCATTGACTGATGCAATTGAATGCAAACTTACAAAATACATCTAAATTATTCCAAGTTTACTTTTCTCTTTTAAACTAAAACTTATAGGAGGTTGATAACTTACTTAATGACTATTTCTTATACAAACAAGTTTGGTATCGCTTTCAAAATGCAGCAGTAGACTTCTGCTAAAGATCCAAATGTTTCAAATGAAATTTATGCTCTCCTGGTAACGATTCACTTATCTTCTGTTTCAGACACTGTCAGATTTTATAATGTATTTGTTCCAACTATGAGATTATGAATTATCTGCAATGAGTCTAATTAATGTGCAAAACGAAATTAGATGAATACTGACAGAGAAAAACTGATGTACGTATTACTTGGATGTAACGTAAGAGATAAACACCTTTATTGTGATCGAAGTGCAACGATTTTGTGCCTGTATGCTCGCATAAAAAGCCATCAGTACTTTCGGAACTACTAGCGCATCTTCTTCGAGAATAAACACGTGTCCTCTCTTGCGGAGACGACGATATCGATTGCGACGGATTGTCTGAACGATCATTATTCAAGCGAATCGACTCTTTTCGGTTACGAATCTCAGCTTTTAAAACCTCTTGTCTCTTTTGAATTTGATCCTGCAATACCTGCAATTTCATTCTTGTATTAATCACAAAATTTGATGAACCAGACACAGATACTTCAAATAAATGTACATACAGAGTGAGTCAGTGAAAACTATTACATAAAAAAGCTCGTTGTCATTAAAAAAAATGTTTCAAACCTAATTTGTTGTGTTGACCTATAATAATATAATAACGTTGAATTTAGTCTGTTTAGTGTTCCTATTACTTTGTACAGAAATATTAGAAGATACTCTGTACAAGTTTTACAATAAGAAGGTCAGTTGAAGGTAATCACATTAAATTTGCTTTAGCAGTGGCTACAGTGTAATATAAGAAAGTGTAAGGCGATTATTAAAGAACTCAAGATCGCCATGATATCTCAGAAAATTTAATATATATAATTATTATATAATTATTATATTAATGATTTCATTTATTAAGCTTGTAGCGGACCCGCAACGTGGGAAAGAAGGAATTTTCGGACGAAATTCAGTCTCAGAACTCAGTTCCTGAGTTACTTTTTTAGATATTATTTCCCCTTTGGTTTGAAGGAAAAGGGAACTTCCTTCTCTTTAACGATTCGAAAAGTCGTCGACTGGGACAACGGTACATCATGTGCCACGTGGACAGAAAACGTTCAACATGTTAAACGTAATAAAAAAAAATCATCAATTTATATACAGGGTGTCCCACAATTATTTTAACAGCCGAAAATGAGGGGTAGCTGAGGTCATTTGAAGTAACTTTTTCCTTTGCGAAAATGCAATCCGCGGCTTTGTTTCCGAGTTATTAACGAAAAACACTGGCCAATGAGAGGTGACGGTGCGAGAGAGAGGGTCCGCGAGAGAGTCCGCAGCACGAGGCTTTGACAGAAGGTCGGGACGGACTCGAGCCGCGATCGAAGTATTGAACAAGTCACGAAGCGAGAACTTTCCGGATTTTTTTAACTACATAACAGTGATATTTTTAAGAAAAACGCTGTTCACCTTTACTTTAGAACGTCTGAAGAATATTCACTGATTTTTCGGACTCGAAATAATATGTAGTTTAACCGTGACAGACGTTTTAATTTTCTGGTGTGCATGACACCTTACGTGTACCATATGAAACTTTTATGCAAGGTGTACAGTGAAGATTAACAAAGTTCGTAAATGATATTTTAATTTAAATAATTCCGTGTACGAACAGAATTCAACGAATGATTCGCAAAGCTGATTTAATAATAAATAATCGCGTTAAGGTACGTAAAGGATTTGTTTTTTAGA